TGCCTTCAGCATTCACTGCTCAAAGGTCAGCAGGGCTAAGCCTTTGCTCACTATCAGATCCCTCCTGGCTACCACACACTGCCTCTGCCCATCAGATGCTGTTTTATAGACTTTCAAGCCTCTGTGATGCCAGGGAAGAAAGTTTCTCATTCATCCTTGTTTCTCCCCACAGTTGGTGCTGAGTTAATTCCTTCGGAGTAGCAAACCAAACAAACCTATCAAATCTCTTACTGTCCTTATGAACAGTCAGATCACATCAAACTACAAATGCTTTCTCTCTCAACTTCCACTGATCCTCCTTTTTGGAATCTTTCTGCATTGCTGGGAAATCAGTCCATTCAACCTGCATGACGCACATAACTGGGTGGGGCTAGGTTTGTATTGTCTTGTAGAAGATTCCTTATGAATCATCAGTAAAAGTGGTTACAATTAGGGCACCTGGTTGGCTCAGTCCGTTGGGCGTCTGCCTTTGGAACAGGTCATGATCCCAGGGTCCTGAATTGAGTCCCACATGGGCTCCCTGCTCCATGGGGAGTCTGTTGCTCCCTCTGCCCCTCTTGCCACTCGTTCTCTCAAATAAATTTTTTTTTAATTTGCTACAATTATGGAAAGATAATCCTTCAGATACTTGTTCTTACAGGACAATGAACTATTAGAAATGGAAAAACTAACCACTGGAAAATAACATTTTTTTAAATTCTAAAATGTCACTGATTTTAGGATAACCTTAGTTTTGCAAAAGAACCTAGTTTTAGTATCTGAAGAATAAATGATAATCATGAAATTAAACACACATTAAAATTAAACACCCATGAAATTAAACACACATTTCAGAAATGAAGTGTGAAAAATATAGCATCTTGGAATTGAGGTACCATGACTAATGAGCAAATAAAATTAAGAAATAGAACACCCTTCCTATGAAATCATCATATGAACCTTGTTTCACCAAGCTCTGTGATGCTATGTAAAACCACTCTGGGGCGTATAGGTGAGCAGCCCAGGTGGTCCAAGTGCAAGGAAAGCTAGCACGATGGTGGCTAGCTGCCACATACAGGTAATCAGGCAATTGTTTACAAAGAGCTCACGGAAAGGTCTTATTTTCAAAAACTGTTCAACTTGTATGCTCATCTGTGAGCATGAATGTCAATTTGGCCCTGCTAGAAAACCTCAATTCTCTATTTCTAGGATCAAGTGAGGTTGCACTACCCCCCCACCAACTGAGACTCTGGCCCCTTAGGATAGCAGGCTATGAGTGAGGCAGAATGAAACGCTAAGGCAGACCGGAAGAAACTGTGCAGGACCTGCCCTCATGCTAACTGGCCAGAATGGCCCATATAATCTCCTCCCCCATTAATTTCATCTTTGCTTCTGGCACAATATGCTCCTTTTGCAGTTTTCAAGTGTCAATACTGGGGGAACTTTCTCCAGCTTCCTGAACGGCTTCTTTACGAAAGGCCAAGTCTTCAAGGTCATAGCTTTATCTTTTCCTGAAAAACGGCTTCCATTTTGACTGCTAGGTAAATTGCGTACATTTAGGGAGGACTCCGTCTTAGTGATTAACACTGACCTTCAAAACATCCTTTGATTTGTGACTAGAGGTGATCTCAGCAACTGAGAAAAGGAGTTTCTGGTACTATATATAAGAAATAGGATCTGGGGAAGTCAAACATGATTACCATTTATTCTTCAGATACTAAGGTCAATCCCCCCCCCTTTTTTTAAAGCTTTTATTTGAGATAGTGAGAGAGAGCACAAGAGTGGGGTGAGGGGCAAAGGGAGGAGCAGACTTCCCACTGAGCAAGGAGTCGGATGCAGGGTTTGATCCCGGCACTCCCAGATCATGACTTGAGCCGAAGGCAGATGATAACTGATTGAGCCTCGCAGGCGCCCCTTTCGATAAACACTAAAATTTTAATGCTGTAAGTATTTTTAGCAAAATGTCAACCTATTTAATTTGTACAGTGCTTTTGATCCTCAAAGAGGATTTCAGCCCTGTGGCATCCGTCGAACTTTCTAAATGTAACTGGCTAAGACATTCAACTCTACCACTTCTTCCCAGCCATATGACCTTGTGCAAATAAATACCAAACTTGGGGGCTTCAGCTTAGTCCTTGGCAAAATGGGGATTACAAGTACCTAGCTCAAAGTAATGTTACGATTTATACAAAGGACTTAGCACACAGTATGCAAATAATTGAATCATTAGCAGTTAACAGGGTATCTGGACCCTCCTACCACACTGGAATGACACAAATCTCAGGTGTCATTCAGTTTCAAGAACATGGAAACACACCCTCTATCCAGATGAACAATTTTAAGGGAAACGTGTCTTTCTTTCCACATCCTAACATTTTATTATTTTTTTATAAATTTTTCTCATTTTGATTTTTTTTTAAATATTTTATTTGAGAGAGAGAGGGTGAGACAGAGAGAGAGAAGGAGCAGGGGGAACAGCAGAGGGAGAGGGAGAAGCAGATTCCCGCTGAGCAGGGAGTCGGATGACATGGGGCTCGATCCCACAACTCCAGGATCATGACCCGAGCTGAAAGCAGATGCCCAACTGACTGAGCCACTCAGGTGCCCCCACATCCCAATTTTAAAGTGCACAGAACACATTCGAGTTCAGGGTCCTAGCACAGAACACATACGTGTTACGAGCAGGAAATTGTGCTTCAAGGGAACTGGCATTTCTTGCCATCCTTCCCTGCTCTCCGACCCTTCCTCCATCATATTCTGGCTGGGGGAAACACCCTCACTGCCCTTACTGTGTGCTGTAACTCTTGTTTAGTCTTGGGAGGTTTCCTGCTGGCACACCTTGGAAACTCACTGCTGTGCTCTTAAAACATTTACCCTAAAGAAGCCTGGTTGTCTCCCCTGGGTTTAGGTAGCATGATGCCTGCCACACTCATTTTCTGAATGTTCACAATAGCGTTCTAAGCAAACCAAAGGGCCTTTATTTTTTTGTGTGATCATTTTTAAATACATATCTCAGTTATCCTGAAAAGCTTCAGGTGATGCTTTAGAAAATGAGAAGTAGGTATTTTTCTTTTTTTGCCTGAAGCCTATCCATGTGCAGGTCTTCACTCTTCCCTGCGAATGATGTGAAGAAAAACCCTCGGTGGCATGGCATGTTAACAGAGCCTGGGAACCAGGGACTTTTTTTCATTATGACTTTACATCTGTTATATTATTTTATAACTATTCACATTTTATATAACTCATTTTTTATACCAAAGTCTTCATTGTCTTAGCAAAGTCAGAAAAAGTGATGTAATAAAGTACCAAGTCATTAAATTAAAAAGAAAAAAAAAAAACAGCTTGTTTTTCTAAATAAGCTTTTGCCTGATACCCACTGTCGAAATTCTATCATTTTGTTTTGTGTGATACCGTCCAAACATAGGGATATAAATTTTGGGTTCTAAAATGACTGAAGACAACAGGACCTTCAAGATCACACTGACATTGTAGAGACTAAAGTGGAGAAGGGAGAAAATAGAAGTTTGGCACTTAGATTTTTCTTAAGACAACTCCCCGCACTGCCTACCCCCCCAAACCAGCAACAGCAGCTAAAACTTACATATTACTAAATGCCCATACATTTCACTCCAATCCTATGAGATTAGTTCTGTTACCATCTTCATTTTATAGAAAGAAAATGGGCCCAGAGAGCTTAAGTAATTTGCCCAAAGTCACATAAATAAGTCGAAGAGGCGGGGCTCAAATAAAGGCAGTCTGGCTGTAAGTACCATGGTCATAATCACACTGTATTCTACCTACTAGGTCAGGAAGAGAAAATAAATGAAACAAATCCTCTATTCAAATAGTATGCGTATGGTTCAGCTGGAAAAATTACGGACCAATCACCATCTGGCTGGAACCTTTATTATTTCAGAAATAAGCATCCCATGTAATTTGAGGTGGTTAGAATAACTACTTCTGGATACTGTAATAAATATTTGTCCAAAATACCAATCATTTCAATAATCATACACACTTCATTCATTAAGAACTTCCAAAAATAACTCTTCTGTATCAAAACACTTACAAATGTCACAAGAGAGTCAAGTAATAGTCTATGCAGGAGAGAAGGAAAAGTCAGCTGGGGGAAACTCTAATGAAGCATTTTGCCTATTACAGTTCTGACTGACATAGTTCATGAAGAAAGACTAGCTATGTCCTACCTTTTTGTTTAGTGCTTAGCATGAGAGGAACACAAGAAACCAAGTCTTGGGAGAAAAACTGCTTTCATAATCTTAAGTGTGAGCCACAAACAGGCTTTTCTGATAAAAGCTTCAAAGCCTGAAGTGATGGGTAAAGCAAACATGTATTCTATTAAACATTTCATTAAATATGCACAAAAATTATGCAATTAGGAACACAGTGTTTGTATATTTGAAAATGCAAGAGTTTTCATGCTTTGAATGTTTTATCCTGAGAAGAGTTTTAAGGATATTTTGTTCTATAAGGTTCAAAAATAAAACTTAAACATATATAACACGTATCAGGAATTCTCCATATGATTAACATTCTGGACCATCCTAGCAATGTCAAACAATGAGAAGCCTAACAAAATAACACATATGTTGTAAAGACAGCAATGAGAAAGAAAGGAACATCAGGAGAATGAATCACCTATATCTTTGTTTCATGCTCAGTGCTTCTAAGTTCAACAGACAGATGTAAGAACAGCAATTATTTATTTGTTTCCAAATAGCCAGACCCCTCTCACTGGCTCACCACCAATTACACAAGTGCTAAGTAGTCAAAGAAAGATTGCAGGTGACCCTTTGCTTCTCTCTGGTCCCTTTACCAAACCTCTACATCACTTATGACATTACTTATTGATATGATATACAGCAAAACAGAGTTTGCTAATTTTCACTCAATCAAATAAATTTTAAAATAGAATAAATTCTCACAACACAAACTTTAGTTTTCACATTCATTGCAACATTTAAGAATTACTCAAACATGAGAACTGGAAATGTGTGTGGTTATTTGGAAGACAACAACTGAATTTATTCTGCAGAAGATAAAGGAGACCTGAAGCATCACATCACCGGAACAACTGAAACATGTTGACAAGTCTTATCTTCTAAACTTCAATGAAAGCTGCTTGTACAATCTATTTAATGAATACCTGTCCCTATTAAACAAGCAAGATATCTGATGTATTAAAGAAGTCAGAAGCTGAGGCTCTTCATTTCTTTCTGTTGCCTCCAGTTGCTAGAATACTGGCAACTCGCATAAATATATTTAAGGTATCCATGTAGATTCCCAGCATCCTGGAAAAGAAAATTATGGCCTGTTATAGATGATGTAATTCTAATAACAATGATTAAAAACTATTTCTTAATCTAGAAAAGAGAAAGCAATACTTATTTGTCATAGGTACATGAAATGGAAATTAAGAAAAGAAAAGATGCCAACTAAGGAAGCCCTAGACTAGACAACAGTCAAGATTTTCTTCTGGCAGATTCATCTTCGAAATGTTAAAGGGCAATTTAAAAAATTATTATTCTATCCTCTGACACGCTCTATGAGTGTAGTATCTTGCAAAAAAAAAAAAAACCCTGGGTGATAGACAATGAAATAATCAGGAAAAAAACCAAGAAACACCTTCACAAAAATGTCTTAGACACAAGTCTGGCATTTTTAAATATAATAACATCTCCTCAAGGCAACCCCCCCCCCAACCAAAGAAAACTGTCACAGATCTGTGTTACGGCAGCATTTTAAAAAAACCATTACACTGAATTTCAGTTTCAAGGAAAAAAAGATTACTTTAAAAAAGGTGAGAGACAACATGAAACTCAAGAAAGTTGTTTAAATAAAACAACCTACTTTGGTGGAGAGTCCAAGAAAAGGGAAAAGCATTATTATATAACAGTTGCACCATAAAGCTAATCAACAAAAACAGGCAAATACTGATTTAACTGAATACCTAAATACTACACTTAGTTACGATCTAATCAAATGTTCTGTGGATACATAGCTTACTAAAGAGATAAAACAGATCAAACAGCAACAGAAATAAAACAGTACAATTCGATAAACCCATCGTGGTTATGTGATATGGTGACATCCTAATCCCTGTACCTGTAAATGTGACCTTATTTCGAAATCGGGTCTCTGCAAATGTAATCAAGATGTGAGTTAAGATGAGGTGAATACTGGAGTAGCGTGGGCCTCAATCCAAAATGACCGGAGACAGAGACAGACACACAGGACAAATGCCATGAAGACAGAGGTAGAGATTGGGGCAACGTGTCTACAAGCCAAGGAATGCCAAGGATTGCGGGCCAAAACAAGCAGCTAGAAGAGAAGCATGGAGCAGATTCTCTTAGAGCCCTCGGAAGGTATCAACCCTGATGACACCTTGATTTCAGACTTCTGGACTCCAGGACTTCGAGAGTATAAATTTCCATTGTTTTAAACCATTCAGTTTGTAGTCTGTTACAGTAGCCCTAGGAAACTAATACAGCCGTAAAATAAAATAGACCATAATAACACAAAAGTCCTATGTAACAAAGGAAAGACATTAAAGACTACTTACGAATTGATGGGATCATATTTTTGAACTCCATACGCTGGTATTATTTCTGCACGCTTGATTACTTTCTGCGTATCATGCAGAAGAAACATGCTGAAAAGAACTAATCCACCATAAATTGCCACTGAGTACAAAGTGGCACCAGCCACAGTGGTAGGTGGAAGAAACATAGATCCTGGAAGGAAAAAAGACGGACTCCTCTATAATTGGATTTATGATTAACATTACTTAAAAAACAAAACAACCCTTCTTTTGGTGTACTGCACAGGTCAGAAAGGGACTATGTGCACTGTGTAATTTTATGCACGTTCAGTTGCAAACCCATTATACCCATTCCTGCGATGGGTCACTTGCTCACATTACAGAAAGGCTCTTGCATCAGGAGCAATTTTCATGTTCTCCAGACCAACTTTTCCATTTTAGATGTATTTGGTAAAACCAAAAATCATAGTTTACCATGATGCCAAATAAGAAAATACACTCTAATTAGTGTTTCCCTTTTAGACTTTCAAAAGTGACTCTTAATAAGTTCCCTCCATTAGGATAACTGAGCACATCAATGATTTTAGGATACCAAGAAGCAAGTATCAACACCCAGCCACTTACCCAGTGAGGATACAAAGACGAGACCCAGGCCCACTCCCAGGGGTGCCCCCATGTTCAGGAACTTCTCACTGGGCGCGCACACGGCCACAGCGGAGAGGCCCCCCACGATGCCCGCTGTGTACCACGCGGCTCTGATGAGAAGAGGGCCCCCTAGCACCGTCAGTGGAGCCACCACTGCGCCCAGCACACCTGGAGAAAGAGCAAGCAGGGAAGTAGTTACTAAATGACAACCAAGAAGAAAATGCCACTTCTAGTAACAGGCCACCTGAACATCGTATACCTGACTGTTCAACAACAGGACTACCAAGTCTCTCCCGTATGTAGGTAATACTACCCCTGAATTCCACAACCCAAACTTGCAGCTAGCCAAACTCGAAATCACAACAATAACACTATTCTTAAACTGTCTCAACTCAGAGTACAAACACTAATCTAGATGTTTGAGTAACTTTATCAAATTTTATGTACTTCATTATCTGGATGTGAGCCTACTGGTATATTCTTTGCAACAACAATCCTACGTAAGAATTGAGATTAAAAGGCTTGAAATGAGTAACTCAAGGTCAAACCTGTTGCTGCCAAGAGGAAACAAGGTAAAACGAGAGAATGCTGTAGGATGCTAATCCTAAGGAACTTCAAGGACAGGCACTACTGTTTCCTTGTGGATAGGGAATGTCATCTCAGCTTGTGAACCGTAATTTTAGTTGTCAAATATTCATAAACAAGTTCAGAAAAATTACAGTCAAAGGTATCAATAATTTAATTAGCCAACAGAACTCCTTAATTCAAAAAATAAATCTTAAATAAGGCATTATTTCAGTAGTGAGTACAGTAAGTTATCCTCTTATTAAAACATTAAATGTCCATAGTTTAACTCATGGAATAGGCACAGCTATGCCCATACTATAATTCCAACACCAGTGTCTCTTTCGTGAGAGTAACATTTCTAGATCGAGTAGGAAGATATATCTCATGATAATGAACAATTAAATATATCTTTTGCTGTTAAGACACTGGATAAAAATTCCTCTAGGAATCTTTACATTTCTATTAGGATTCCCATCAATTTTACAACTGACAGCAAAATTTTTAGCAAAAAAAAAAAAAAAAAATCATTTTTTTTTTTTTTTTTGCAGAAGCCAAGAAAAACCTTTATTCTCCAGCAGGAGAACTTTACTCACCCTAGGTAACTCCTTGTCCTGAAATTTGGATTAAGCCACAGGCAGAGGATCAAAGAGTGTCCTTCTTCCTTCCTTCCCTATACTGATGTGCCAGCCCATTGCTCCAGGTTCTGACCCCGTTAGCTACCAACAGCCAGGGACAGGACATAGAGCTGGTACCAGGGAGGAAGGATGAGCGAGGCCTTGCCTCCCTCAAGGCCTTTTCATAGCATCTCCGCCACCCCTACCCCGTGGCACCTGGTCCTCCCCTGGCTCTCCAGGGTCTGGCCTGGTGGTCCTGTTTTCCATGACCTGTCCCTCCAGTGGTCCTCTCCTACGTAGGCTGACCCTGTCAAAGACAGTTTCCCAGGTGGCCTTGACAGTCATGGTACAATCTTCTGGTTTTTCCATTCTTCATGGCTAGGTTTATTGGAGATTCTATCTCTGGAGCTTTTATCACTGGGGGTCTGGCCCTTGGGTGGCTTAGTCTTCCAAAGATCCTGGCTACCATGCTCTGCCAAGGTCTCATCCCAGATGCCACAGTCCTCTGAGAGGTCCAACACTCGTGAACTAGCTCTTTGGCAATCAGGCTCTGCGTGTTCTGGCCCTGAGACTTGTCCTCCCAGAATGTGGGCACCTGAGTCCTGGCCTTTTCACAACAGTAGCCCCTAAGTTTGAGGCCTCTGGAGGGGGTGGGGGTGGGGGTCTAGTCCTCCAGGACTTTCTCATCAGCTGCGGGCAGATCCCTCCAAAGGTCTGTTCTCCAACATCTGGCTCTTTGGTGAGCCTGTTTGTTCTCTAAGGCCTGGTTTTCTGATGGTGTGGGAAGCTTAGTCCAGTCTTCCTGTAGCTTTAGCAAAACTTTTAAGGCAATCGTCAGAGATCTTTAAATGATATTTTCTCATAAAAATCTTAAATGGTAATAGATGTTTGCTGCTTAAGAAGACATACCAATTACAAAACTAACAAGGATAGCTCAACATTATATTGTGAATCAAACTGGCAATCATCCAACTGGTACAACCACTATGGAAAAGTATGGAGGTTCCTCAAAAAATTAAAACTATAACTACCATATGATTCAACAATCCCACTTCTGAGTTTATAACCAAAAGAACTGAAATCAGGATCTCATAGAGATGACTGTGCTGCCAGCAGCATTGCTCACAATCTTCAAGATACAAAAACCAAATTGTCCTTCAATGGATGAATGGATAAAGATGATGTGGTGTATAAACAAAATGGAGTAATACTCAGCCATAAAAAAGAATGAAATCTTGCCATTTTTGACAACATGAATGGACCCCGAGGGCATTATACTAAGTGAAATATGAGAAAGACAAGTATCATATGATCTCAATTATATTAGGAATCTAAAAAAGTCAAACTCAGAGAAACAGTAGAGTGGGGGTTACCAGGGGTAGAGGTGTGGGGGAAATGAGGAGATATTGGTCAAAGTGCACAAATTTCCAGTTATAAGATGAATAAATTTGAAGACCTAATGTACAGCATGGTGATTACAGCTAATCCTGCATCATATACTTGAATGTTGCTAACAGAATAGATTTTAAATGTTCTCACCACAAAAAAATGGTAAATATGCAAGTGTTACCTAATGCTATGGTGGTAATCATTTTGCAATATATAAATGTATCAAATCAACCAGTTATGTATGTTAAAACTTATATGATGTTATGTGTCAATTATATCCTAATAAAGCTGGGCGGAAAACACAATTAAACAGTTTTCCAACAATCATTTCAGTAATTCCTGCACACTTAGTCCTGATTAAGACCACAGCTGTGTCGACCCAGTGCTAAACATTTGGATGAAAAATGAAATGGAATGCACTGGGATGTTAATACTGGTCAAAAACTAACTCTGATGTCCCTTTAAAACTGTGAAGGATTGCCCTAGGGTCATCCAAACCCCCTTCAGGGCTCATCTCAATCATACCAGTGAAAGAGTGGACAGAGGGCTGGACTTGAAGAAATAAGGGTGTTCAGTTTTGACTGTGGCACCTGCCAGTGTGACCTCACACAGCCTCCACTTCCCTCATCCATGAAATGGAAATGCTAATGTCTGCCTGCACAGCTTCTCAAGATACGGATGAAATGTAAAGCAAAAACTGGCATTCATGCTGTACAAGAAAGGGTTACCAGAGCAGGCCTAAGGTCATCTTTAAAAAGACTTGCTTGCAGGGCTGGTCCTTGGCTACTTAAGAACTTGGCAGATGAAGCATTCTGTAACTGGAGGGTTAGACTGCTTGTGAAAATCTGAGTTATGCTGAAAGCCTGCTTTCCTTCTGGAAATCCGTATTTTGGTAGTTGCTATGAAGGTGCTTACATGATCAGCCCTTATTAAAAACCCTCAGGCACCAAGTCTCTAATGGGCTTCTATCTCACTGCTCTTTTCACTTCCTTGGTAAGTCCCCTCAAGGAAAGGAGGGAGCACTGAAAGCCTGTGGATGAATTTCTCCAGACTCTGTCTATATTTTTTCCCCTTGCAGATGCTATCATGTGTCCTTTTATTGTAATAAACCTCAGCTGAGTACAACTATATGCTGAGTCCTGGGACTCCTTCTAAAAAAACATTAAATGAATGAATGGTTGGTCTTGGGGACCCCCTCCAAAACACAAAATACTTTGACCCAAATAATTTATATACTGAAATAATAGCAGATTAAAAGGAGTTTTCTAAGCAACCCAGATAGCCCTTATTCTAAACTCAAACTACATAGCTATTTTAATTTAATTCAGTAAGTCACTAAGTATCTAATATTTATCAGAGATAAAAACACTGAACCTGTTTTCTCAAGGAACTGAGTGTCTAAAATGGGAAAGAGGTGCACAACTCCATTCTCTGAGTAAGATACTAATGCTAAACTCAGATGGTGAGGTTTCTGGTGTTTTAATGCAAGGGTACATCCTCAAGAGAAAAAAAAAAAAGTTCTGTACACTACTATGGTTATGTACTTGTTCTAAAGCAGAATAATTCTTAAATAGATGGCACTCAGAGATATTACATTTTATAGAAGTACACGTTGTATCTTGAATAATTTTTTTCTTAAAAGCAGGTTATTGGTGCTGGAAGATAATGGACCACCTCCCTCAATCACAAGGATTTTATCCTGTAAAGCCCCATGGAGAATATCTATGGTTGAATAACCTCACACCTAACAGAAGAGACTTGAAAACCGCGGTTGTCAAGTCATGCTGTTTCACATTTACCAAAACAAAGATAGCACATAAAGAATGTAAATGACAAGCTGGGCGCCTGGGTGGCTCAGATGGTTGAGCGTCTGCCTTCGGCTCAGGTCATGGTCCCAGGGTCCTGCGATCGAGTCCCACATCGGGCTCCCTGCTCCTTGGGAGCCTGCTTCTCCCTCTGCTTCTCTCTCTCTCTCTCCCTCTCTCTCTCTCTCCCTCTGT